GGGTGCCTGAGCACCTTCTGTCCTCTTTCTGTGGTTTCCTGCCCGGGTGCAGCTGCAGCTCCCCAGGGTGTTGCACAACCAACATGGGGTGGGCAATGCATGACAGAGGAGGCATGGCCTGGGGGTGCTGGGCAGGGGGTTTGTGCTATGAAGGCGTGCACAGCACAGGGGGTACAGCCTGGGAGGCACCAGTGAAACAGAGAGCACAGCATGGGGGGGCATAGTTATGGGGCACAGCAAGGGAGGGGTGAAGAATTAGGGGTGCAATCTCACTGGAGCCACTCCCAGGCAATGGGTGGGCTGCAGTAACCCCTCTGTTACCCTGCTCCTAGCAGCCATTCCAATATAAATCTAAAGCATTTATTTGAGCCACATTGTCCTGTTTCCCCAACATGTGCTTTAAAAAGGAGCACCGAGGGGGTTGAAGCAGAGGTATGGGGCTGATCCAGTCAGACCCTCCCTCCCCAGCCCCCATGGCACTGTAGAGACCAGGCCCTTCCCTGCAGGACCCCCAGACCCAGTCCTGGGCCAGCTCCCATGCTCTGGTGCAGCCATGCTTCCCGTGCTGTCACTCCTGGCCATGCCAGCATGGCCATGGTGCTGAAGGTCCCACCCAGGACTCAATTTGGAGCCCTTCCCAGATGCTTCTCCATGGGGGGTGGCACTGATTCTCCTTTTCAGAGGCTCATCCCAGCCACAGAGCCACTAGATAGTGGGGGGGAACTGCTCCCAGAGCCACATGGCAGCCCTGGGACCCCTCCATCCAACTCCCAAGCATCTACCAGCATATTCAGTCCCTGGCTACTGCCCTGAGGAGGAATAATCTTCATGAGTCATGTGGAGCATTCCAGGGGCTGAGGGGGCAGTCTGTGAGAGCAGAGGGGTATCACTGAGTGTGGGCGGAGGGAGGCCTAGAGGGACCAGCATGTGCTGCCCCTCACCCTCTGCTTTGGTCATCTCCTGCCCACTTGTCCACCACATCTGCCTGTACCTGCAGGGGAGAAGAGTGGCTCCAGTTCAGGGGGGGAGGCAGACAGAGCCCCCTGGACCAGCCCCCCTTGCACTCACCTCACCACGATGCCAACAAACAGGGCAATGCCAAGGAGCAGACTTCCCCCAGTGACCAGGAAGGCATAGGGGGATGCCACAGGATGGATGCTGGATTCCATGACAGACCCTGACAGAGAGAATGGATGGGCTCACTGTGAGGATAAGGGACCTGGGTGTCGCTGCCCCCCACCCCCAGTCCAGAAACCCTTCCTCACCACCAGCACCATTAGTATCATCCTCCCCGAAAAGCAAGGGGGGCAGTGTCACCCCATAGGTGCCATCTTCCATGGGGACCTGCAAAAGGAGCGGGGGGCAATGGGACAGGTTAACCCTCATGCCCTGGTGTCTCCTTGTCCCACATGGGGACAGAAGACCCATTCAGGAGTGTGTGATGCTTCCCAGGGCTGAGACCATTGTTACCTGTGAGCTGAAAGGCTCCATTTCAGAGGTGAGGTCCAAAGGGTCTGCACAGTGAGGGGGCAGTATGAGACTGGGAGATCCCATGCTGAGCCCCCAGCCTCAGGGCCCCATGTTTTTCTCCTACCTGTCCAGGGGGTACCCACAGCCTCCTGGCTCCACTCGCTCCATGTGCCATGCCCGAACTCATCCTTCGCCCTCACCTGAACCACATGCCTCATCCCACGCCATGCGTCACGAATGTCAAGCCAAGTTGTTGTCACCTGATCCACCTGGAGGGGACACATGGCTGGGGACAGTCTGGCCGGGGACACATGGTTGGGGACAGTCTGGCCAGAGACAACATGCCAGCAAGCAGGGTCTCACCTCCACGAAGGTTGGGGCAGGCTCAGGGCGGTAGCGGACCTGGAAGTGGAGCCAGTAGAAACGGGGGTCCCAGGATGAGGGGTAGGACCAGTTCACCTGCAGCCGCTGTGGTGCCTTCTCCAGTGCCTCCACCGTCACATTGACTGGGGGGTCTGGCTTCACTGCTGGGAAAGGAAGGGCTTAGGGCCTCACACTGCTCCCTCAGCCACCCCAGCTCCCAGCAATGGGGGCAGCACTCACGGACACTGCTGAGGGTGATGATCTTGTCTCTGCCAGCTGAGCCACCAGCACTGTTGCTGACGCACGTGGACACCACAAGGTGTTTGGTGTCATCAGTGCCTGGTGGCACCTTCACCCGGCAAACGAACTTCCGTGCCTTGGAGAAGTAGCGGCACCGCTGCTCTGTGGCATTCTCAGCCACAAACCTGTAAGGTCATAGCTCAGGGGGGGCTGTAGAATGCTCTAGGCACAGGGCAGCTGTGGGGGACATGTCCTATGCTGTGGGGTCCCCAGCAGTGTCAGGAAAAGTGTCTGGGGAGGGATTCATTCTGTGCCATGAGGTCCCAGGCAGCATTGGGGAATGGGGCCATGGGGAAGAAACACATCCTGTGCTGTGGACTCCCAGCTAACAGTAGCTACTGGGAAAGGGTCTGCAGGGAGGCAAGCATCCCAAGCCTTGGGGACCTGGATTGCACCAGGGAAAGGGACCATGGAGAGGGACATGTTCTGACTCCAACAGGGCCCAGCCCATGGTGGATGCAGTGACAGCACTCACCTCCGCTTCACCCAGAGCATTGCCCGTGTCCCTGGTGATGGTTTCTTCTGCTGCGGCCACTCACACAGGACATCCTTGTCATGGCTCCGCCGGTAGCAGGAGACCTGGGGAGTTTCAGGGGGCTCTGCAAAGCAGGAAGGTGCTGGGGTACAGAGGCCATCACAGGCAATGCTGCCAAGGACATTCCCACCCTAGCGTGGACCCACCTGCCACCAGCAGCCGCAGGGAGCGCAGCAGGTGGCTCCCTACAGAGCAGCTGTAGTGCCCAGAATCCTCATAGCGCAGCTGCCGCAGGAGCAGCGTGTTACCCTCCGCCAGCTGCCGTCCCCAGGCCCCTGCTGGACCCTGCTCCTCCACCTGCCACAACACCGTGGCATTTGCAGGCACCTCATCCTGGCAGGTCAACGTGATATTGGCTCCTAGGCGGCCCAGTATCGTGTCCTGCGACAGTCCTGGAGGGACAAGAGGGGACCAATAGATGAAGATGAGACCCCAGGCCCAGTGAGTGTCTCCGGAGACAGAAGGCACCCCATCATGCATGGACCTCCATGTCCAGTGACTGCTGGGGATCAGAGCATTGAGCTGGAGAGCAGCAGTGATTCTTCACATAGTGGAATACCAGACCCCTGGCACTGCAGTAGGGGTGGGCACCACAGCACTCAGCAGGCTGCATATTGAGGGGTTTGGTGGTGGGGAGCACAGCTCAGGGAAGGTGGCAGACTGGGACTGGTAGTCCCAGGAGTCTCTGGGTAGGGGTCCAGTGCCAGAGGGGTTAAGCAACCGCTCTGGCTGGTGGCCCGGGTCAGGCTTGGGCAGCGGTCCCAGCTCCCTCCAAAGGTCAACAGCCAGTGTGAACCTGCTGTTCCCTTTGGCTCCTGCTGCTGGGAACGCACCCAGCGCCCAGCCAGCACCCGGGACACAGCACCCAATACCCAGCCAGCACCCCGGACACAGCACCCCAACCCCAGTACTCCCAGGGGTGCTCCGTACCACCATCTGCCCGTCTCCCCGGGCCCGGCTGAGCTCCTTCGGGGCAGGCAGGGAACCGCATTTGTCCCCTCCCCGTGCCCAGATCCACGAGGCCCGGGAACGGGGAGAGACTCTGGGCCACCCCCCGTCTCCCACCCTGCCCGGTGCCGGTCGCACTCACCGGCGGGGACGCAGGGCCGCCCGGCGGCGGCGAGGTAGAGGAGGAGGCAGAGAAGGAAGACGAGAAGGAGAAGCGGCCCCGGCGGCCGCGCCATGCGCCCCGTCCCGGTAAGACAAACATCAGCGGCCCCGCGGTTGTGAAAGCGGGCGGAGGGGCGGGGCGGCACGTGCGCCCGGGGGCCGGCCGAACCGACACCGCCCTACTCCCCGGGCCCTCTTTCGTACCCTCCCCCCGTCTCCCCCGGATACAGGACACGGCGGAATCTGCTCAGAACATTATTTTCTTTTTTTAAACTAAAAAAAAAAATAAAAAAAAATAAAAATAAAAAAAAATAATAAAAAAAAAAAATCTGGTTTGTGTGTTCTTTTTTTCCTCAGGAGCCATAAAATTATACTATTTTGCCAGACAGAAACGCGTCATAAATTATTCATCCCAAGCCGCATCCCCTCCACCGAAATAACCCCAAAAATCCCCCAAATCCCCTCCAGGCCTCGCCAACACCCGTCTGAACAAGCTCCTCTTTGGTATCGCGTCCGTCCCTGGGCCCCCAAAAGCCCCAGAGACTCCCCGGGGGTCCCCCATTGCCCACCCACACCCCAAGATCACTCAGTCCCGCAAAAGCTTGAGAGGAGGAGGATGAAGGAGGAAGCAGAGGCCGAGGGTTGTGCAAGACCAGGCGTGGGAGTGAATCACGGCAGCTGCCAACACCCAGCCTCCCTGTGGCACAGAACACTTCCCCTTTTCCACCCAGCACCCACAGTCCCAGCGAACTCTGCGGCAGGGGGACAAGGACGGTGACCTTCCTCCCCCCTTCTCCCTGTACCCAGCCAAGAAATGAGTCGCTCTGTAAACTCAGTGGGGTTTTCCTCACTTTTTGTTTTGTTTTGGTTTTGTTTTGGTTGCTATTTTTTCGGGGTGGGGGGGTCTTTTTTGACTTTTTTTGTTTATATAAAAAAAAAAGACACGTGGGTGAACGGCACGGAGAGGCCAGAGTCCTCCCAGAGCCCTGCACCTCTGGTATGATACATTCATGTGTGATGGGGCATTCGTACTCAGTGGAATTGAATACTGATGGAGGAGCAAACAGGGGTGAGGGGTGGAGGGAGGTGGGCTGATGGTGATAACATCCGTCCGTCCGTCCATCCATCCATCCATCCATCCGTCCGTCCGTCCGTCCGTCCGTCCATTCATCCTTCCATCCATCCATCCATCCATCCATCCATCCATCCATCCATCCATCCATCCACACCAGGAAGGGAAAGACTATATTTTTTGGCTAGAAGGCGACAGTCCAGACTCCTCCAAACCTCAGCCCCCACATCACCTCTGCTCCTATTATGGGACCCTGCTGACAAGGGGTTTTGCCATGCCCAGGGCCAGGAGCCCTCAGCTGCACTGGAGGGGATGTGATCCCCTCCAGCCTCAGACCTTGAGAGTCTTGTCAGCTGCACCACTGGGGCTGCCAGCACTGCTGCCCTCGCAGCCCTTTTTCTTCCGGAGGGTATCGATCCAGCTGGCATTGGGGCGGGGGGCAAAGCTGGAGAGTGCCAAGGAGCTGAGCCGCATGTTCTTGCCAGACATGATGAGCTCCCCGAAACCCTCCTGATGTGAGAAGGCATAGCCAGAGCGGCGTGAGCCCACACGCCCTGCATGCCGCATGCACCGGTGCTGTGTCTTCTGCTTCTTCCGTACCAGCTGAGTGTAGCGCACCTGGAGACACAGGGCCAGGGTCAGGGACCTGTGGAACCACTTCTCCTCAGGGCTAGGACCCCATGACTGCTCCTATAGCCATGCACTCTCACCGTATCCGAGAGTTCTGGTTTCAGGTCCAGCTTAAGAAAGCGAAAGGCCACAACAGGCATGATGCAAACTACGGTGGTGAGGGCGATGGTCAGCCAGACCGTGGGCTGGGCCAGTGTGTTCTGTGCGTTACCTGGGGGGAGAGAATGAATCCACTGAGGGCTAGGCCGAGGCAGGACTCTGCTGGGGTGGGGCACATAGGGCACCACAGGGACTCACCCACAAAGCGGAACTGGTTGGGGAACATTCGGAAGAGGCTGTCACTGTGCATGGTGAACAGGATGGTGAAGTAGGCGGCCAGGCTGCCCCAGATGAAGAAGTGGTTGATAGCTGTCCAGAATCCTGTGTCTAACCCGATCTAGTGGGGGGATGCAGGAGGAGACAGGGCTCAGGGGATGCCTTAGGTGCCCCAAGGGTCTGGGGCTGAGTAGCCACGTCCCTACCTGCACACTGACGACAATCACAAGGGAGGTGGCAACAGTGACGGCAAAGGACTGGTAGTCGGCCAGCTGGGCACCATCATCACGGGTGGCATCAGCGAAGACTCCGTAGGGGATGAAGAACATGAGGATGGATGTGTAGATGCCCTGGGCAATGCAGATGAAGAACTCCCGCTTGTTGAAGAGCAGGTTCAGCTGCCCAGGCTCATAGAGTTTGGGATACTCCATGCTCCGCTGCTCTGGCACATCCTGGGGGCATGGACACCTCCCGTTAGCCATGGGCAAGAGCAGCCTCCACCACAGCCCGCAGAATGACAAGGAGAGCCCAACTCAGCAGCCTTTCTTCCCACAGGATGGGCATGAAGGGAAGTGGTACAGACTCCTTACACACTCAGTACCCCCACCATACCTGGTCAAAGACACCCATAGCGAGCACAGGCAGCGACGTGTAGACAATGTTGTACAGAGTGATGAAGTACTGGTCATACACTGTCTGTATGGAATAGAGCACTCAGCGGGGCACAAGTCCTGCCCGCCCTGTGCCCCAGCCAGCTCCCAAGTTTCTGTACCCACAGCTGCAGGGACAAGATAGCTGTCTCCAGGCCCCCAGGATTGCCCATCCTGACCACAGGCCCCTCACACACTGCACGCTGGATGCCAGGCTGTGCTTCCAGGATGAGTCCCCATAGGGAGTCCATGGACCAGAACATGCTTCAGCGCCAAGCAGGAAAACCCTCCCCAGCTCTCAGTGAGAAAAGCCACCAACGTACCTGTGCTGAGAAGCCACAGAAGAAACCAAACCAGAAGTGGACCATGGTGAAGGCAAAATTCTTGTAGAAGAAGTAGCAAAGAAACTTGCACATGCGCAGGTAGGACCAGCGCCCATGCACCAGGAGCAGGCGCTGTAGGAACTTGAACTGGGAGAAGGAGTAGTCGGAGGCCAGTACGGCCTGGATGCCTTCCTGCCCACTGATGCCCACCCCAATGTGGGCAGCTGTGGAAGGAAGGAGAGATGGGTAAAGAGAGGGCTCCCAGAAGCACAGGGGATGAGAGCAGCACCCCCAGCACAAGCACTTCACTCCTGTGGGGCACAGATGGGTGAGCACAGAGGCTCCCATGGGCCCCAGGATGGTGCAGGGGGGTGACCTGTCTCTCCTGTGGTCCCCCAGATCTCAGGCCTTACTCTTGATCATGCTGACATCGTTGGCCCCATCCCCAATGGCCAAAGTGACAGCTTTCTTGTACTTCTTCACCAGCTCCACCACCTGGGCTTTCTGCAGGGGTGTGACACGGCAGCAGATAACAGCCTTGCAGGCACATGCTGTCTCCAGGAATTCTGCCTCCATGTCTGCCTCCAGTGCATGGGCCTGCAAGGAGAGTAAGGGACAGCTGGGGTCACGGTACACAGCCAGGCACGGGACCTTGTCCTGCCTGGCACTCCCAGGGCCCTACCAGGCTGTGCCCATTGATGACCAGGGCGTATTCGCCCGCAATAGCTTCCAACACAGAGGTAAGCTTGGAGGAGAGCTTCTCCTGGTAGAAGCCATTGCACACAGAACGTGATGCATCCATCATCTTCTCCCGGGCTTTCCTGAGGAGAGAGGGAGCACGGGGTTCCATCTCAGGGCCCTTCCATATCTCTAGCTTCCCCAGTCATAGCTGTGCCCCACACTGGCACTGTTCTGTGTCCTCTGCCCCCCAGTGCTCACCTGAGCTCCTCTCGCACCTCCAGCACAGTGTGGCCTGTGACCACAAACACCTCTGCCATATCATCTGTCAGCATCTTGCAGGAGTAGCCAATATTCACAGCTGTTTCTGAGGACAGGAAACCAGAGCTGCTCTCTGGGCTGAGCCAGTAGAAGAGAGCAGTAGGGATCCCAGGCAGGTGGAATCCAGCCCACAAACATCCTCATCTCCAGCCAGCAACTCAGCCATGCCTCACCCTGCTTGTCCCCTGTCAGCACCCAGATCTTGATGTTGGCCAGTGTCAGGATGGCAATGGTTTCAGGGACCCCCTGCTGCAGTTTGTCCTCAATGGCTGTGGCTCCAAGCAGCTTGGGGACGCAAACAGGCGGGAGGTCAGCAGGGGCTGCCCCAGCCACCACCAACCTCAGCCTCCAGCCCACCTACCATCATATCATGCTCCACCTCATCGTAGAGCCGAGCCAGGTGATCCTCACGGGCCTCAGAAGCACTGCCAGCTCGGTGCAGCCGCTCGGACCAGTCCTTGTAATAGCTCTCCTCCAGGTCTTTGTAGGCCAGCACTAGTGTCCGCAGGCCCTCGCCAGCATACTCCTGCAAGTGGTCAGAGCTGGGTGTGCTGGCAGACCCTGATGGTGTCCCCAGACCCCAGTGGTGTTCCTAGGGCAGGGCACAAGGCCAGCTCACACTCCTGGGCAGCCATTCTTTCCTCCCCACCCTGCCTGCAGGACCCTGTCCCACGCACATTGAGGTGGTCGGTGGTAATGCTGGTCAGGTCCTGGTTGATGTGATGCAGCCGCTCCAGCAGGATGGTGTCAGCACCTTTGCAGTACAGCCGGATCTTTCCCTCAGGGCTCCGGACTGCGGGGAGGAGGGGACAAGATGCCTGGCTCAGGGGTGAAGAAGCAGGTCACACTCTGACCCCCAGCTATCAACCTGACAATGCCTCCACAGTCACATCCCCATCAGCAGTGGACTGGTCCCCCAACACCCCACAAGGAGCCCCACGCTGCAGCCCCACAAGGCCTCCCTAGCCCCACAGCCCCTGTGCCATGCCCAGGACTTTACCGATGACGGACATGCGCTTGCGGATGTTGTTGAAGTCCAGGATGGCCAGCAGCTGGTAGGTGATGGCTTGACCCAGCTCATGCACTGTGATGGTCTTGGGCGTGCGCGACCGGAACACAAAGCCAAAGTTTCTGGCAGCTGTGACCAGCGCTCCCTCATCCGGGGACTGTGCCTTGTACAACAGCTCCCCTGTGGACAGCATGGGGGTCAGTGACAGTGTCTTGTGACCCACAGGGATAGATCCTGCCCCACACCTACCTTCACTCTTTTCCTCGGACATGACAGTGTGACAAAGCGAGAGTAGACGGAAGAACTCATGCACGTGGAGGTCTCCCAGCTTGACAGCTTCCAGTAGGCTGGGATCCCAGAACTGGAACCGTGGGTCCGCCAGGGGGTTGAAGGAGAAGTCTACAGGTTCCGGTCTCTGGCAGGGGCAAAGTTGGGGTTACCCCCCTGTGGTACTTAGCATGGGCAGGCACCAAAGTGACAGCACCCTTACCTCTCCCAGCTCTGCCTTGTGGCCCAGCATGTCCTGCACATCACCTGCAAAACAGGGTATGGAGTTAACCATAACAACAGAGACTCAACACCATGGCAGCTGCTGCTGCCCCACAACACTCTAGCTAAGCCCCACCTTGTCCCTTGACTGCCCCAAACAGAGGTGGGGAGCCAGTGCACACCCACTCTGTGGGCAGCCCCAGCCTGGCTCTGGCAGCTGGTGCTCACCATAGCTGTGCCCATTCACAGAGCACTTGCTGAAGACCATGATATTCTGGGTGAGGGTGCCAGTCTTGTCAGAGAATATGTACTCCACCTGCCCCAGCTCCTCGTTGAGGGTGGTGGTGCGGGCTTCAGCTGGCGTCCGGCGCTTGGCACAGTACATCTTCTTGTCCCAGTTGATGAAGTAGCTGTGCCCAAGCCGGATCACCTCAACACTGCAGGGAGGATGGCTGGGTGTCACTGGGGCAGGGCAGCACACTCTCCTGAGCCATGCCCACCCCCGACCCTCAGAGCCCTGGGCACTACAGCACACTGGGTGTCCCCCACTGCTTGCTAGCTCCCACACCCTTCCCGGGGGGCTGGCCTGCAACCCACTCCTGCTGACAGCCGCTAAGCCAGGGCTGGGGACCAAGACAAAGCACCCAGGGGGCAGCCCATGGGGCTCCCCAGGCATCTCACACACCTATGAACCCTGAAACCCTCCCCAGCCCCCAGGGCAGACAGCAATGAGCTAGTGGGAGGGGTGGGGGTGACACATTCTTACCTCGGGGCTAAGGGTGACAGAACCCATGCTGGGGAACGAAAAGAGAGAGAAATTAAAAGAGAGAGAGAAGGGGACAGTGCAGGAGCCTGGGAGTTGTAGGAGGGCAGAGCAAAATAGTCAGCGTGCAGCCAGGGCAGGGAGAGATGAGCAGCCAGACAGACACAGCTGGGGGGCCCTGAGTGACCTGTGGGGTCCTCAGGCTTTGGGGCATCCCTGAAGGCAGACACAGCCTGTCACCGAGAGTAGCCCACACCCACCCATGGAACACATCATTCTGCCTGTGGATCTCCATCCCTGTCTCCCCTCCCCAGAGAGCACCCCTAATTTCTCATACACCCCCTGCCCAGCCCCTCTGCCCCCTGCCCTACCTCACATAGAGCGAGATGGGCACCACAGTGTTGAGGATGATGATGTAGGACCAGAAGGAAAGGAAGCCAGAGAAGAAGGCACTGTGTACCCCCTCGTCCCAGGGCAAGTAGATCTGGAAGCAGACGCCCACCTCGTGCTCCCAGATGGCATTGCCAATGGCCAGGATCACTCCCATGCACACCAGGAACCCAAAGATCTGAGGATAGGACAGTACATCAGAGCCCTGACTGGGGAAGAGTCAGGGCTCTCAGGCTCTCCCTTCTGCATACCCAGAGCACCAGCGTGTTCATCAGCCGGTCAATGCTTGTCCGTTTAAATTTGGTCCGGCCGCTGTTCTGCATCAGTTTTGTGTCAGGTCCTGAGAAGCAGGAAGGCATCAGGGGGTGTCTTTCCCTCCCCTCTGTGCAGCACAGTAGCAGCTGCTGCTTCAGCCCACCTGCAAAGATGACGAGGCCAAAGCACCACTCAGTGTTGCGGAGGACGCAGCCCCGCAGCAGCATGTTCTGGTTGCTCAGGGGGTACTTGTTCTCCTTCCAGTACAGTGTCCCACCAAACTTGTCCAGCTTGTTGTTGGGGGGTTCACAGATCACCTCACCTGGGTGCACAGTATGGCTCAGCTGGGACTTGCCTTCTCCATATGGCCAGCTCCATCCCAGTGTTCCCAGCACCATCCCTGGCTCCCCAGAGATCCACTTTGAGCCGCAGAATGACAGTGCCACGTGGCTGGTCCTTGTCTACCCAGGGTGATGGAGGAAGGAACATGGGGGCTGCCCCGTGGCAAGAGGGCTGGTCACAGGCACTCACCGTCAAAGCAAGCCAGCTGGCTGGTGTCCCCCAGCTCTGCGGTGACGGGGATGGCCTGACGCACCTTCATGTTGGTCTCTCTGCAGGCAGGAAGGCACCACATGAAGGTTAGAGACAGCCTGGCAGGGAGGGCCTTTGCAGGTGCTGCCCAGCAGCTCTGCCCTGTCTGCAGCCCATTCTCACTCCCATCTCCTGCCTTCCCTGGCCCCCCAAAGCAAGCAGGGGCACCTACCCATCCAGCTCTGCAGTCTCTATGTAGCATAACCCATGGGGTTCACTGCTGGAGAGGAGGAGGAGGTCAGCCTGCTGGGAGAGACTTGTGAAAGGTTGTGCCAACACTGGAGCTCCCCGATGCCTTCCCTAGGGAAGCTCCTGGCCCTTGGATGTCCTTGGAACTCCCTGGAGCATCTGAAAAGGCCACCCCTAACCCCATGTGTCCTTTGCAACCAAGCCTAGACACCATTGCTCCAAGTGCCCATATCCTCAGAGTTCAAAACATGGCTCCACCATGCCTTCAACTCTACAACCTAAATGCAACTTCCAGGTTAGAAGCCACTAATGTTCCCACCCTGGGAAGTGATGGAGGAGAACAAAAGCAAAGCAGGAGTGGCACGACACCCCTCCATGGTCCTTGTGTGCCACCCACCCTGCTGGAACCATATTTGTCTCAGGGCTGCGCTCACCGCCACAAACTGGTTGTTCTCCAACTTGATGATGTCTCCAACACGGACATTCATCCATTGCTCTTGCTGAAGGCTGTAGAGAGATGGCAAACTGTCAGGCGGAAGCCCTGACCTGCCCACTGCCCTGTGCCACATCCCACAGAGTCCCTGGCTCCTTCTCCACTGCTCTGTGCCCATGACACTCACACTCCACTGATCAGGACCTGAGACTGCCGGTTGTTCACCTGGTTGTCACTTTTATGGCGGAACTAGGAGCAGGAGAAAGAGACAGCAGTGTCATCCTCTTGGGGATGGGGTCCTGAGTTCCCCCACCATGTCAAATGCCATGGCCCTGGACACCGCCCCCCTGCACAGTGTCCCAATCCCCTGCCCAGTGGACAGAGGGGTGCAGGGGGAACCACTCACATAGTCATCAGTGGCATCTTTGACAGCTGTGATGGTTAAGACAAGAACCAAAGGCACAATGGTGGTAAACCAGGAGAGCGAAGAGATCTGAGGAATCAGCTGGGGATAGGGAACAAGAATTACATGGGAGCCAGCCAGCTCCAGGCCGATGCTACCCCTGCTCAAGGATGCCAAATCTCTCCACTTCCAAACTATGGGACTACTTGTAGCCCTCCTGTATGGCCAGGCAGGGAAGGACTGCACTCACCTGCAGGATGAGGAGGAAGAGGAAATAAGTGTTGGCCACTTCCTGGAACTGCTCAAAGAGGTTGACAGGCAGGAAGGTGACAATGTTGTACTTGGAGGTCTTAATGCAGTTGCTCTGGGGATGGATAGGGCAAGAAGGGGGTCTACAGGCTGCCAAGGCCCTATAACCCCCCCAAGATCAGATCACTCTGGAAGGCAGGGGCTGCAGCTCATCATGCTCTTTTGGGGGGTTAAGCTCCTGCTCCTGTGCTACCTCTGGCAGCTTCCTTGGGAAGCCAATTCCTCAGTCTCAGTCACCAGCTGGTGCCATGAAACCAGCCTCTTCCACTAGCAGCACCTGGCCCCTGCAAGGGTGACCCCAACACAAACCCCTTCTCCCCTCTCTGCAGCTAGCTCTGGAGCAGCCAGGAACAGCCTCCAACATGGAGGGAGGTCAAGGTGAGCACTGCCCTCCCCTGGCAACTTCAGAAGCTGACTCACGATCCACATTGGAATGTGGGACCAGGCTGGGATCTGGGCAGAGCCAGAGGGTTCTGGGCCTCGGCCAAGGATGGGGGGGCTGAATCCTCCACATAGAGTGGACTGTGCCCGGCCAGCCCCACAACTATATTGGCATTAACATCATCAGCACCATTTTCTCAGGGACAAGCCTCTATTTTGTAGTCATAATACCTTCCCCCACCCTCCAATTGAGGTGTGGGTGATTCAGACCCCGGCCCCTCAAACCTGCCCAAGGACCCCCAGGAAGGGGTTCAGCTCCCCCTCACTCACTGCGTACTGGAACTTCTCGTTGTACTCCCGTGCATTGGCTCGCACTCGACGTTCTTCCTCTGCAACACAGCGCTCTGTGACCCCCATGCACCCCGACACTCCCTACATCTGCAGTCGGGCAGCTCCAAGACCCTGAACCCTGACACCCCAATCTCCTCTCCATCCTGAGAGCCAAGCTAGTCCCAGAATCCCAGAATGCAGAGAACAGGGAGTCTCCCCACCTGTGTCATGTGGCCCTATGCTCCCCCATGCCACCTGTACCCCTGCACACCTGGAGCCCCAGCCTTGCTTAACTGTACCTCCACCCCCAAATTCTGCATCTCCAGATTCCCCCAAGCCTGCAATGCCAGACCCTCAGCTCTACTTACCTGTACTCCCAGAGCCTCAGATTCTTCATCCCGTCTGGCTTATCTGCTCCCCCAGCTCAGCACCCCGATGTCACCAGACCCTTCCAGCCCTGCACCCCCATATCTGCATCCCCCAGCCCCCCATTTCCCCACCGCCGTGCCCACCCCGTATCCACCCGCCCCGCGGGGGTCACGGACCCGCTGCCACTTCTCAGACATCTCCCGGGGTACGGCCCCGGCCCCATACCCGGCCCCAGATGCC